GAGCCTGTTCTTCTCACACACGGGGCTGACCCTGGGGTTACTAACTTGCAGGATTCCAATGTGACGAGCTCTGCAGCTCCTGTTACCCCTTTTTGTGCCAGTGCGGGGTCAAAACCTAACACACGGGGTCAGGGTTTGGGGATTGGAAACCCTCCCCAGTCCCGTCAGCCCCTGTCTGTGCAAAGGCTTCCTGAGCCACCGCAGAACCTCCAGACATTAGTTTAAAACACACCAAGGGCCCATTTGGACCAGGGGGCTGGTATCAGAGTCTTTGCCGTGAATGAGAGAGATCCCAGCTGGTGAGACTCAGCAACATCTCCAAAGGAGCCTATAGGTACAGCCAGCCCAATGGAAAAACGCTGTCACTCCATTATAGTCAAGGGGGCCACATCCTCAGCTGGTGTCAAGAGGCCGTAGCTCCATTCAGTCAGTGGCACAGACCCCAGCTGGTGTGTGTGATGGTCCCTGGCGGTACCCAGGGCTGTGAGGCACGTTGCTACCACCTGCCCTTAGCGTGAGGAATCCTGGTCTGTGCTTCCTGGGGGCAGCTCCCTGACACCCCCGGATGCAGCCACACAAGCCCTCCCCTCTCCTCCCCTCCCCGCCCCTGCAGGCTGAGCTGGCCCTGGGCAGGAGCTGCCCCCTCAGGTACCAAGGAGGGGACGCTGGTCCCACTGGGTTCCCCGGCAGTGAGATCTCTGCTGCTCAGGGATTATGTAAGTGGGGGATGGTCCCACTATTGTGGGGAACTTCCCTGGTTTTTACACTATCCTGGTGAAATGGGCTAGTGGAAGGAACTGAGTCCTCACTCCCACTCCCTTTACCCAGAGGCTGCCTGACCTCAAGGCTCCCCTTCCACTCTCCTGTGTGGCAGAGTCCTCATAACCCCAACGAGGCTGGTCCCAGGATTCCTGGGGGCTCAACCCCCAACCTTGTCATGGGCACTTAGGGCCGGGGCTGGGGTGTCCCCACTCCGGGTGCTCTCTCTGCACTGGGCACTTCCCTGGCCTACTGATATACATGCAGTGATACCCAGCCACACAGTTCAAAGCAAATGTACAATGTATTAAACAGCAACCAATATAGACAAACAAGGGGGAAATGGGAAAGGTGAAAGGAAAACACATCACCCTGCTGTGTGGCACGGGGACAGCACACCCAGCGTCTCTGCAATGCCAGGGCAGTTCAGTCTCTTCCCCACACGTCCCAGGTCTCCTCCAGCCCTGGCTGTGCTGCAGGGACGCTGCGGGTCGGACACTTGCTCTGGCGGTGGCCACACGCTCTCAGGCTCTAGGTGGCAGGACCCTTCTTCCCAGCGTCGCCCCCGCCCCGTCGGGGTTACGATCCCCCTCCCAGTCTGGCCTGCAGAGCCTCTTGGCTGAGGGCATCTCCCTGTGCTGGGCCCACTGCCCAGGGTCCCCCACCCCCGCTCTCCCCAGCTGCTCACGGCACCCGGCTCCGGACTGCGCCACCTCCAGCCCCAGCCCCAGCCCCAGCTCCTGCCTCAGCTCCAGCCCCATCACCTGCCCCAGCTCGGCTGCTGCTGCTCTGTCTCCCTGGGCGGCTTCTCTGGCCCCCCTGGCTCCGGTGGCTGCAGCTCTGCTCCCAGCACAGGTCGGCTCTGGGGGCTGCTTCTGCAACTCTGCTCCCAGCTCTGACCTGCTCCCTGGGCACTTGTCTGGCCCCTCCGGCTGGCCCAGCTCTGCTCCCCAGCTCAGCTGGGCCCCTGCTCCTTCCTTAGCTCCGCCCCCCTTTGTCTGACCCAGGCCATTCCAGCTCACAGGGTGGGACCCCCCCGGCCTCCTGACTCCCTGATTAGCTGCCCGCCCTGTCAATCAGACTGACCTGGAGCGTTGGCCTCTCCCCATTGCCCCTGGGGACTGTCAGTCTCAGGCTCCTGATTTCCATTGACTCTTCCCCTTTTGGTGCTGGGAGCTAGCAACCAAAACATCCCCACTGACTGTTAGTAAGGGGGCAACAATCCCCTTATATTTACATGCC